AATGGATAAGAAAAGATAGATTTTATATATTTTCTCTCTTATACAAACATCACAGAGGAGCGCTTTACATTATTCTACGAATGATCCGAATGATCCGAATGATTCGTTTGATCCGATTGATTCGTTCTTAGTTTTGACGGCTTCCCTAAGTAAAAGAAAAAAATACAAACAATGAATGATGCTGCCTGCTTTTACTTTCTTCTATTTTTTGCAAACAGAAAAAAGATTACTCGAATGAAATTTCTGTGTCGTTTGCGTTCTCTCCTTGAAGACTGTCTGTGATGAAGAGAACACGGCATCGACATTTCACATTACGTTTTTTTATATAACATTCATTCCATACTGTATTGCAATTATAACAACAATTTTGAGATCAATATGAAATAGCGTAAGCGTAGTACAGATGTTTTGCTTTTAACATTTATGAGTATGTAATGAGCTGCTGCACTGAAACTAAAATGGAGCACTTATTTACACACTCGAGACTTAGATGTTTAGAACAGATGTCGTCACAAAACAACTTTTGTCTTGAAACCAACAGTATTAATTTCACTATCCGCTTTTCTGTTGGTGCTCTTGATTGAGTCTCTTTCAAGCTACGAGCATCTCAAAAAATCTACGGAAATCAATCAATTCTGTATATATATATTGCACAATAACTGATGGAAAAACAATTTGAAGATGAATTTACTACATCGTTAGTGAGAGGTAAATTCTCAGAGAAACACGAAAAGCAATGGGTTTCAACGGAGTCCGTCCTTCCAGGATCGACTCTGTTAAATTGTAAGATGCATCTACTGACATTATCAGACGGGATTATTAACAAACGTGGACGTGACGACATTATGGCCATTAGTGATGGTATAAAATGTTGTAAAAGCAGGCAGAAGTCCTATAGCAGTCCTCAAAGTTTAATAACAGCCCCATTGATGTCATTTATTCCCACTACAACAGCATCGAAAGAACCGAAAAAATCATTTAACCGTGAACGAATGAATCTTGAATCGCATCAACTTATTTGGTTAGATGAAAATGTGAACAGTAGTGAATATGAGAATCAAAGAATCACTACGACACTTCGAAAGATTGTCGATTATACGAAGGTATTTCATTCAACAGACGAGTGTCAACAACATATACAGCAGACAAAATATTCAAGAACATTTGTCGTCTCTTCAGGACAGATGACTGAAATGATTCTTCCACAAATCCGTATTATAATTACAGTATATCAATAGATACTTTAAGTGGTTCCGAGTAATTCCGTTACTTGAGTGATGATCGAGTTCCGGGAATTCTTAGGAACTGATTCCGTAATGCTCATCATTGCGGAATGGGATGACTGCTCCGGAGAATAACTAGGCTGAAGTCTTAAAATATGAACTTACTGCACACAGAAAGTTGAAGAGAACAACAAAAAATGTCTAAAGATCTCTTTTATTAGAAGATGGATGTTTTGTTAGAGTAAAAGTCAGATAGAAGTATGGGAGTGTCAATGAATAATCGGAGACAGGTCGAGAAGCGTTTAATTGAGAAAAGGTCTGGTGTTCACCACATGATACTTATTATGGACTCTGCGAATGATAATCTGACATTGACCTTAAAAAAATATTTTTTGATTCTCGGATTTTACGTCGCTGCTCTCTACTTGCAAAACCTAGGAGCAAACAAAACTCTTCGTTTTTTGCAATAAGTAAATTCCAGTTCTGAGTAGATGTTCTTTCTATAATTCTAGTGTAATTTCTCAAACTTCTTCAGCTAGAATTTCTTCCGAAGGCGAAAGAAACCTTTACGAAGATACTAAAGAAACGGTACAGTCTAAAGGCCAACGAAGAAAAAGTCGTTCAGAAAGTAAAAAATAAATTTGGAAGTGATTTG